GGGTTTAGGGTTTAGGGTTTATTATTCTGTCTTTGTCTATACAGCCAATTGCGCTGCTGCAGCAGCAGCAGCAGACTTGCGAGGCTGCAGCCTGGAGCCCTCACGACTCAAATCTGGTGAGCCTAGGGTTTAGGGTTTAGGGTTTAGGGTTTAGGGTTTAGGGTTTAGGGTTTGGGGCTGAGGGTTTAGGGTTTAGACGAAGGCCACCAGAAAACAGCAGCCAGCAGCGCCTCTTGAACTTACGAAGAATTATCCTTCAAGTTTGCTGTCCGCGCGGCTTTTGCTGCTGCTGCTGCTGCTGCTGCTGCTGCTGCTGCTGCTGCTGCTGCTGCTGCTGCAGATACTGACGGCTCACAGCCGCAGCAGCTGCCCCTCTTTGCTGCACACTGGCGGCAGCAGGGGAGGTCTCCTGTCTCTGTGGGACCTGCGCCTAGCCAGCAGCAGCAGCAGCAGCAGCAGCAGCAGCAGCAGCAGCAGCAGCAGCAACGGGGCTGCTGCGGGCTGCGTCGGCGGCTGCGAAGACCCCCACGGCGCTGCTGCTGCTGCTGCTGCTGCTGCTTTCAATCCTTCTTTAAGCTTCTCTTGTCTTTCAGGAGGAACTGATGGAGCTTTGAGGTTTTGGGATTTGAGAAAGATGCAGCAGCCCGTCAAAGTAGGGTTTAGGGTTTAGGGTTTAGGGTTTAGGGTTTAGGGTTTGGGGGAACTGATGGAGCTTTTAGGTTTTGATATTTGACAAAAATGCAGCAGCCTCTCAGGTTTATTATCCTTTTTGATGGTTTCTAGTCATCTTTTTCAGGGTTTAGGGTTTAGGATTTATGGTTTAGGGTTTAGGGTTTAGGATTTAGGGTTTAGGGTTTAGGATTGAGGGTTTAGGGTTTAGGGTTTAGGGCTTAGGCGGCTGTGGAGCAGAGCGCCAGCTGAGAGGATTTAGAAGTTTACAATTTATTAATTTAGAGTTTTTAGTTTTTAATTTTTGAATTTATTTATTTGTTTTTTATTTCAATTATTTGTTTTTAATCTTATTTTGACAATATGTTTTATTTTATTCCATTTGTTGTTTTACTTAAAATTTATTTTTATTCTTTTATTTATTTATTAGCTAACTGCATTTATTATTTATTTATTTATTTATTTATTTATTTATTTATTTATTTGTTTATTTGTTTATTTATTATTCATTAATTCATTATTATTCGTTACTTCATTATTTATTTGTATTTTATTTTATTCGTTTATTATTTATTATCATTTCTTTATTCATTTGCTTATTATTATTTATCATCTATTTATTTACTTATTACCAATTAATTATTTTATTTATTTATTTATTACCGATTATTTATTTATTTATTTATTTATTTATTTATTTATTTATTTATTTATTTATTTACTTTAATGTTTGCAGATTCTGAGAGATGTTCATTCTCACTGGATTTCTCACGTGGCTTTTAACCCCTTCCACGACCAGCTGCTGCTCACCGCGGGCACGCCAAACCCTAAACCCTAAACCCTAAACCCTAAACCCTAAACCCTAAGCCGTAGGGTTACTCGAGGCGGCTCAAACTGCTTGCAGTTGTTGGAATTTTTCGGTGAATTTGCGATATTAATGAATTAATTTGTTTGTTTTGACGAATTATTCTTTTATTTATTTATTTTAATTAATTATTCTCCATTTATTCTTCCACAGGCACCGACGGCAGCGTCAAGCTGCAGTGGGTGGAGGACGCGTCGGGTGTATGTACACCTCAGCAGCCCAAAGACAGACTCATCTGCGTCGACGAGACGAGCGATGTAGGTCAAAAAAGGTCCAAAAAGCGCAAAAAAAGGTTCAAAATAATCCAAAATAATCAAAATAATTAAATAATAATCCAAAAATAATTAATTAAATCCTTTTAATCGTCAAATTGATCCAAATTCCACCAAAATCCGTTCCAATTCAAGCTGGGGGGGTCCCGGTTGAAAGAAATGAAGCTGAAGGGCATGAGGAACAAAAAGAATAAAATAATTAAAATAATTAAAATAATTAAAAGAAATAAATTAATAAAACAAATTAAATAAATAAACAGAAATAAAATAAAGAAAGAAAAAGAGACAAAAAGAAACAAAAAAAGGGCAAAGAGGCGCATAAACCTAGCTGCTGCTGCTGCTGCTGCTGCAGCGTCTTCGCTGCTGCTCGCTCTGCGCCTGCTGCTGCTGCTGCAGCCCCGCCCCACTTGCTGCTGCTGCTGCTGCTGCTGCTGCAGCCCCGCCCCACCTCCTGCTGCTGCTGCTGCTGCTGCTGCTGCTGCTGCAGGATAGCTTGTGCGGGCTTTGCTGGTCTAGCTGCGACGTTTGGCTATTTGCTGCTCTTGCTGCTGATGGTTCTTTGCTGCTGCACCATGTGCCAACAGCAGAGAAGTATAAAATACTTTTATGAGGTAATTTCACTTTTTGTTTTTTATTTTATTTTTCTTTTTTGTTTTATTTGTTTTTTATTTCTTCTTCTCCTTTTATTTGTCTTTTTTATCTCTTTATTTCTTTTTTATGAAATCATTGTTTTTCTTTTTTGGCATTTTATTTATTTTTATGTTTATTCGTTTTTGCTTTTATTCTTTGTTTCTTTTATTTATTATCCTTCTTATGTTTTTCTCTTCTGCTGCTGTTTTTTCACAGGCGACTAAAGCCCTTTAAGGGTTTAGGGTTTAGGGTTTAGGGTTTGGGGTTTAGGGTTGAGGGTCGCTAGGGTTTTGCTGTTGCTGCTGGACAGCAGCAGCAGCCACAAAAGCAGCAGCAACAGCAGCAGCAGTGGCAGCGGCAGCAACGGCAGCAGCAGTAGCAGTGGCAGCAGCAGCAGCCTCAACAGCAGCAGCAGCTGCAGCAGCTGCAGCAGCTGCAGCAGCAGCAACAGCAGCAGCCAATACGGCCTTCATTACCGTCATTTTGCTCCAAAACAAGTTTGCTTTCGAGGTCCTAAGATTCGAGGCTTAGAGTCTAGGCTTTAGGGTTTAGGGTTTAGGGTTTAGGGTTTAGGGTCTAGGGTTTAGGGTTTAGTTGGCGTTTGTCCACTGGCAGATGCAAAGGCACTTCTAGCTGTCGATTTGCGTTTTGTTTATTCATTTTGATTTTATTTATTTGCATTTTTATTTTTACTTTTTAAATTCATTATTATTTTCAATTTACTTTTTACTTTTTATCATTTATTTTATTTTTTACTCAACTTTTTTCTAAAACCCTCAAGCGCTGAATCAGCTAGGGTTTTGGCTAGCTGCAGCTAGCTAGCTGCAGCTAGCTAGCTAGCTTGCTGCGGCTAGCTAGCTATGCTGAGCGGTGGCTAGCTAGCTAGGCGTAGTTGTGGCTAGCTGCAGCTAGCTAGCTGCGTTCCCTTATGGCTTGCTGCTGCTAGTTAGCTGCAGCTAGCTAGCAGCAGCAAGCTGGAGGCAGCTAGCTAGCTGCAGCTAGCTAGCAGCAGCAGCTAGCTAGCAGCAGCAGCTAGCTAGCAGCTGCAGCTGGCTAGCAGCAGCAAGCCATCTGCAGCTAATTAACAGCAGCACGGTAGCTATAGCTAGCTAGCTGCTGCTAGCTAACTGGAGCTAGCTAGCTGGGCCCAGCCGTGAGTTAGCTATAGCTAGCTAGCTGCAGTTTGCTGCAGCTAGCCAGCTAAATTAAGCTGTGGCTAGCTGGCTAGCTGCAACTAGCTGTAGCTAGCTGCTAAGCTAGCCACAGCTAACTAAACTCGTCTGCCGAGCTGCAGCTAGCTGCTGCTAGCCGTAGCAGCTAGCCGTCTGACTAGTTCAAGCTAGCTGTGCTCAGCTGCAGCTAGCTGCAGCTGCAGCTAGCTGTAACCACCTCTAGCTAGCTGTAGCTAGCCGTAGCTAGCTGCAGCTAGCTGTAGCTACCTGTAGCTGCCTGTAGCTAGCTGTAGCTAGCTGTAGCTAGCTGTAGCTAGCTGTAGCTAGCTGTAGCTAGCCGTGGCTAGCCGTGGCTAGCTGTGGCTAGCTGCAGATAACTACAGCTAGTAGATGCAGCAGCTGCGAGGGAATTGAAGATCCAGTTTATCTTAAAGTTAAGAGTTTAGCGTTTAGGGTTTAGGGTTTAGGGTTTAGGGTTTAGGGTTTAGGGTTTAGGGTTTAGGTTTTGGCGCCGCAGCTTCCTCTGCTGCCTTCCTAGAGGCCGCAGCAGCAGTTACGCCCAAGCCCTAAACCCTAAACCCTAAACCCTAAACCCTAAACCCTTAACCCTTTCTGTTTTAAAAGAAAATATATTTCAAAGAAATGGCGGCCCAGGGGCGTCAGCAGTGCACGTTCGGGGTGTATGTACACCTCAGACTTCCTCGCGCGGCGGTTTCAGGCTTTGGAGTTTAGAGTTTAGGGTTTAGGGTTTAGGGTTTAGGGTTTAGGGTTTAGGGTTTAGGGTGTAGAGGTCAGGGTTTATGGTTTATGGTTTAGGTTTTTTAGGGTTTACGATTTAGGTCTCAGGGTTTATGGTTACGGCGCGGAGACTCCAAACCCCAAACCCTAAACCCTAAACCCTGGAGAAAGAGTTCTTGCTTATTCCCTTGAGCAATGCATTTAAAAGTCATTAAGTAAGTTTTCTATCAGTTTCAAGGGTTTAGGGTTTAGGGTTTAGTGTTTAGGGTTTAGGGTTTCTGCTCAGAGTGCACTCACTCTGTTTCGCTACAGCGTTTGCAAATAGCTCTCCCACTTAGTGTTTAGAATTTAGGGTTTAGGGTTTAGGGTTTAGGGTTTAGGGTTTAGAGTTGGGTTGGGCATGAGTTGGGTTTTGCAGTGGTCAGGTGTGGGGCAGCAGGGTCACCTTGAGGGTTTAGGGTTTAGGGTTTAGGGTTTAGGGTTTGAAACGGCAGTTGACAACGAGAAACTTGCAACAGAAAAATCATTTGGTGTAATTTATTGCCAAGGGTTTAGGGTTTAGGGTTTAGGGTTTGGGGTTTAGGGAGGAATAGACAGCATCAAGTCAGGCGGCGGTCGCCGCTGCAGCTGCAGCGGTCTGCTGCAGCAAACCCTAAACCCTAAACCCTAAAACCTAAGCCCTAAACCCTAGACCCTGAGCTGCAGAGCCAAACTCTCAGCCTCTTTTTATTTGAAAAGGTTTCTTTGCAAATAAAGGTACTGTCCATAGCAGGGCTAAACCCTAAACCCTAAACCCTCAACTGTAAACCCTAAACCCTAAACCGCCCACTGGCAACCAGAGGTCACCCCGCACGATGTCGTTTGTGGTTTTGCTTTGAAGTTTGGCTCCCAAACCCTAAACCCTAAACCCTAAACCCTCGTTCCGGCAGCGCCTCGCGCCCCCAAACCCTAAACCCTAAACCCTAAACCCTCATTTTCTTCGCCTTGCTGCGCCACAATGGCCTGCACTGCAGCAGCAGCAGCAAACCCTCACTTGAAGCAGCAAAAAAGCACAGGAGCAGAATCTCTTTATGAAGAAGAGCCCCTGACTCCTTTATATCCTTCTTCGGAAGCAACTGCTGCTTCCACTCCCGGCTCAACCACTGCAGCAGCAGCAGCAGCAGCAGCAGCAGCAGCAGCAGCGGGGGCCAAGGGGGCCAAGCCTGCTGCAGCGGGAAACCCCCAAACCCCCGACGAAGCAGCAGCAAACCTCAAGGGGCCCCAAAACCCCACAGGGGACCTGAACCCTCCTTACACCCAAAATGCCCCCAGCAGCAGCAGCAGCAGCAGCAGCAGCAGCAGCAGCAGCTGGTGGAAGCAGGTGCTGTTCGCTCTGGGGTTCGGGACCCACAGAGTTGAGACCTTTGGAGGCGTCAGCAGCAGCAGCAGCAGCAGCAGCAGCAGCAGCAGCAACGGGGGCTCTCTGGGGTCCCTGTCTCACCCCCGGGGCCGCGAGGGCGCGCTGCTGCACGGCAGCACGCAGCAGCAGCAGCAGCAGCAGCGGCAGTGGCAGCAGCAGCAGCAGCAGCAGCCAGCAGCCTACGTCAAAAGCCACCGGCAGCAGGTTTGCTGGGCCTTCGTTTTGGGGTCTCTTTGTCTCTTAATAATGGGAGCTCTCTGCTGGAGTTTGTCTCCTTTGCCAGCAGCAGCAGCAGCAGCAGCAGCAGCAAAACGCTGCTTGGCGGCCTTCGAAGCAGCAGAAGACGCAGGGCTGCTGCTGGGGGGCCCCAGCAGCCTTGCTGCTGCTGTCAAGGACTACTTGCTGCAGCAGCCGGCGCAGAAGCAGCAGCTGCTGCACCAAGCCTGGATGGCCAGGCAGAAGCAGTACCAGCAGCAGCAGCAGCAGCAGCAGCAGCAGAACGAGCAGCAAGCAGCAGCCGCAGCAGCAGCAGCAGCAACTGCTGCTGCTGCCACCTTCGGCTCCAACAGCAACTTTATGGCCAGCCTCGTCGTTGATGCAGCAGCAGAATACCTGTCGCTGCGAAAGGGAGTGGTGCAGCAGCAGCAGGCGTACGGTTTGCTGCTGCAGGAGCTGCAGCAGCAGCAGCAGCAGCAGCAGCTTAGCGAGTTGCTGCTCGATGAGACGCAGCTCAGGCGCCTTGCTGCTGCTGCAGAGGCGGCACCAGCAGCAGTACCTGCTGCAGCAGCAGATGTAGCAGCGAACCAAGAAACAGCAGCAGCCGCAGCAGCAGCAGAAAACACTGCAGCAGCTACTTCATTAGCAGCTGCTCAAGATCAAACAGCAGCAACTGCAGCAGAAGCAGCAGCAAACGCGCCTAGGCCGTCAACCGAAACGCAGCTGCAGCAAAATCCACAAGGCACAAATGACAGCCACAGCACCGTACAGCAGCAGCAGCAGCCGCAGCAGCAGCAGCAGCAGCCGCAGCAGCAGCCTCAGCAGCAGCAGCAGCAGTCGCAGGAGCAGCCGCAGGAGCAGCCGCAGCAGCAGCAGCAGCAGCAGCAGCAGCAGCAGTCGCAGGAGCAGCCGCAGGAGCAGCCGCAGCAGCAGCAGCAGCAGCCGCAGCAGCAGCAGCAGCCGCAGCAGCAGCAGCAGCAGCAGCAGCGAGCTCATGAGCACGGACACACAAGATGGCGTAGAACGAACTTGGACGGGCAAAGCCAACAGGGGGAGGAGCAGCAGCAGCAGCAGCAGCAGCAGCAGCAGCAGGCAAAGGATCAGCCCAAGGACGAAGAAAAGCAACAGGAGCAGCAGCAGGAACAGCAGCAGGAACAGCAGCAGCAGGAGCATCAGCAGCAGCAGCAGCAGCAGCGGCAGCAGCACGAGCAACAGGAGCAGCACGAGCAGCACGAGCAGCAAGAGCAGCAGGAGCAGCAGGAGCAACCGCAGCAGCAGGAGCAGCAGGAGCAGCAGCAGGAGGAGGAGTCACGGCAGCGGCAGCAGCAAGAGCTGCTGCAGCAACACAGACGATCTATTCGAGAGGCCCTGCTGCTGGGGGAGCTGCCAATGTCCTTGCAGCAGCACCTCGGTGGCCTCAGCAGCAGCAGCAGCAGCAGCAGCAGCAGCAGCAGCAGCAGCAGCAGCAGCCTTGACGAAGAGAGCGACACCACTATCAGCCTCGAGAAGGAAGTCAACGACATCAACGCCGGCGGCATCCCCAGCGACAGCAGCAGCAGCAGCAGCAGCAGCAGCAGCAGCAGCAGCAGCAGCAAGCTGGTGGCTGAGGCTTCGCGCCTGATGGAGGAAGCAATGCTGAGGAAGCGCAGAGCCACAGAAGCACTAATTGCTGTTTTTGTGAAAGGAGAGCAGCAGCTGCAGCAGCAGCTGGTGTCTCTCATGTCTTTGCTGCAGCGCAGCAGAGCAGAAGACCTGCAGCAGCAGCAGCAGCAGCAGCAAATGCAGGCGCAGCTGCGCATGCTCTCCCACGAGAAGTCGGCGCTGCGCAGCAGCAGCCACCAGGGGCCAAGCAGCACACAGCAGCAGCAGCAGCAGCAGCAGCAGCAGCAGGAGCAGCAGCAGCAGGGGGAGGAGCAGGTGCTGGAATGGCAGCAGGAAGAGGCTGAGCTGCAGCAGCAGGACCTGCTGCTGCTGCGCGCGGAGCAGCAAGCCGTTGCTGCTGCTGCTGCTGCTGTCCGTGATGTGCTGCAGCAGGCGCAGCAGCTAGCAGCAAAGTCGCTGCAGCTGTACACCATAGAGCGGAAGCTTTGGGACATGCAGCTTGCTGCTGCGACGCAGCAGCAGCAGCAGGTTGCTGCTGCTGAGCCTGCAGCAGCAGCAGCAGCAGCAGCAGCAACGGCAGCGACCGAGCCAACAACGGCAGCAGCAGCATCAGCAGACAGCGCAATTCTTGTGCGTTCCCTTGCTGCTGCTCCTGCTGAGGGCACAGCAGCAGCAGCAGCAGCAGCAGCAGCAGCAGCAGCAGCAAAGTGCCCCATTTCTTTTGCTGCTCTCCGCATGCAGCCCCAAGGAGAAGCTCTTCTGAGGGCCCTCAAGGAGCGCTCGGGAGAGCGGCAGCTGCTTGCTGCTGATTTGGCGCTGCAGTGCAGCAGCGCGCAGCAGCAGCTGCTGCTGCCTCCCTTCTTTGCGGATTTGCTGCAGCACTTTCCCCTGGCTGCTCTCTGAGGCTTAGGGGCAGCCCGGAAGCCGCTGCAGCAGCAGCAGCAGCAGCAGCAGCAACTGCAGCAGCCACAGGTACAGTATCAGCAACAGCAAGGACAGCAGCAGAAGTAGCAACAAAAACAGCAGCAGGAGCTGCAACAGGGACTGCAGCAGGAGCTGCAGCAAGACCTGCAGCAAGACCTGCAGCAGGAGCTGCAGCAGGAGCTGCAGCAGGAGCTGCAGCAGGAGCTGCAGCAGGAGCTGCAGCAGGAGCTGCAGCAGGAGCTGCGGCAGCAGGTCGAGTGTATGTACATGCTGCTCAGGTGTCTGTACACCTCAGCAGCAGCAGGTAACGTGTAATTGTTGCTTCTTTGTAACAAATGAATTAAATTAAAATAAAAATAAATTCAAAGAAATGCATTTATCTCCAAACAAACTTTGCGCCTAAAAGGCGGGCCCGAAGCCCCCCCAAGCCAAGCGGCTGCAGCAATTACAGCCCCACAGCAGCAGCAGCAGCAGCAGCAGCAGCAGCATGCTGCTGCTGCTGCTGCTGCTAGGGCTGCGAGGGCTGTTTTCCGGGGAGGGCGAGGGCCCTCCGGTGCCTACTGACTTATTCACTTCCCAAACAGGTGCACAGAGAACAGCAGCAGCAGCAGAAGCAGCAGCAGCAGAAGCAGCAGCAGCAGAAGCAGCAGCAGCAGAAGCAGCAGCAGCAGTAGCTGCAGCAGCAGTTGAAGTAGTACAAATAGCAGCAGCAGCAGCAGTAGCGACGGCAGCAGCAGCAGCAAGAGTGAAGCTGCGCAGCAGAGGCAACATTAAGGCAGCAGAGCAAATAAATGAATTCAATGGGGAAAATAAAACATTAAATAATGAATTAAATGGAAATTAATAAACAAAAAAACGAAATGGAAAAGAAAAAGAAGCCCTTGCTGCACTTGCTGCAGCGCTGCGGTGTACGTACACCGCAGCAACCGACACAAAGAACCACTAATAAATGAATCAGTTGCTGTTTAAGAAATAAATTAAATTAAATTAATTAAAATGAAAAGGTAAAAGAAAAATGAATTAAAATGAAAAAAGTGAAAGAGAAATAAAATCAAAATGAAAAAAAGAGCAAAAGAGAAATCCAATTGACAACATTTTTGAAAATTTGGGGTGTATGTACACCTGCGCCATCCTGAAATGCCGCTCAATTGACTTTTCAATTTTCTTTCTTTTCCAGAAAATAAAAAAAGAACAAAATAAAAGAAAAAAGAATTATTATCTTGAATTATAATTCAAGAATTAAAAAAAATGAACATCCAAGCTCTCGAAATTAATATATTTCTCCCAAAAAGGCTTAAAAATAATTAATAAAAAATAGATTAAAAATAAATTTTCTTTACAAACGGCTCCGCTTGTTTGAAATGCCAAATAAAGAAAAGTTTTATTTTCATTTATTTCATTTCCTTAAAGTCCATTTCTTGTCAAATAAGAAAACAAACCTTCGATTTCAATCTATTTTAATTTATTTTAATCTTTTATATTCCGAAAGCTTTTTTGTTGTCAAACAAAAAAAATAAAAAGTTTTGATTTAAATTAATTTAATTTTAATTACTTAAAGTCATATGCGCCTTTTGTATGGCCTTTAACCCCACGGGGGCCCCCAAACAAAAAATAAATAAATCTCTTTTTCTAATTTTCTTTTAATTCTTTTTCCCTTCTTTCTTAACTTCTTTTGTCTTCTCCTTTTTCTTCAATCAAAAACCCTCAAACAAATCCAAAAAGTCCCACCTGCAGGACCCAGAAGGGGCCCCTCTTGGGGGCCTCCTTGGGGGCCCCCCAGGGGGGCCCCTTCAAGTACACATCAGGGGCCCCCTAGGGAGGCCCTGGTGGGTACTGGAGGGGGTCTAGAAGAAAAGGGGCCCCTCAAAAAAATGAAAGTCTTAGGGGTCCCATTAATACCTTCAAAGAGCCTCTTGGGGCCTCTAGGGGCCCCTAGGGCCTTTACTGGGTACTAAGAGGGGCCCCCCGTGCGAAGGGGGCCCCCACTACTTGGGGATGCCCAAATGGCACTACAGGGCCCCTTCTAGGCCCTACAAAGGGCCCCTACTGGGTACTCGGGGGCCCCCTAAGGGGCCCCCAGAGGGGCCCCCAGGGGGCCCCAAGGGTTCTCCGGGGGGGCCCCCAGTGCCTAGGGGGCCCCCAGACGCCCTAAGGGGCCCCTTCTAGCTCCCTTAGAGGGCCCCTACTGGGTACTGAGGGGGCTCTGCAGCTACACTGGAAAGCCACTATGGTGGGTACCTGGGGGCCCCCAATTGGGGGCCCCCAAGGGGCCCCCAAGAACACATCAAGGGCCCCCAAGGGCCCACTTTTGGCCCCGGGGGCCCCCCTGTTACTGCAGCAAATCCCATTCCCCAAAAGCGCATTTAGAATTCCTAAAAGCCACTCATGGGGCCCCCAAAAACCAATTAGGGGCCCCCAAGGGCCCCCTTGGGGCCCCCAAGGGCTAATTAGGGGGCCTTTAGGGGCCCCTTGGGGGTACTCGGGGGCCCCTCGGGGGCCCCCAATATGCCTTTGGGAGTCCTTAAGGTGACAGTGGGGGCCCCAAATAATCCTTTTGGGGCCCCTAAGGGCCCCTAATTGGTCCTTGGGGGCCCCAAGGGGCCTCTTAGGGGCCCAAGGGGCCCCCAAGGGCCCCCAGGGGCCCCTAAAGGCCCCCAAGGGGCCCCTACAGTACCCTAAGTGGGGCCATTGGGGGCCCCCATGGACTCTGTCTGCTGCTGCAGCTGAAACCAGTCAAAAGGGGCATATTCGCGTTTGAGGCGTTCACAGTTTTCTTTGTAGAGCCTGCACACAAACCCTAAACCCTAAACCCTAAACCCTAAACCCTAAACCCTAGACCCTGGGCCCCGCATGCGCAGTGTTTAGAGCTGAACTTTTGCGTCGGGTCTTCTTAAAGATTCTCTAGGGTTTAGGGTTTAGGGTTTAGCAGAGACTTGTCTACAGGGCTGAGGGTTTGGGGGTCTTAAATTCTAGGGTTTATGACTTTAGCCACAGCTAGGGTTTGGGGTTTGAATGAGGTTTTTCCAAATAAGGGTTTAGGACTTCAGTGAGGGTTTAGGGTTTAAGAAACGAGGGTTTAGCGTCTATACAGGCCTTGCTAACCAAGGGTTTGAAGTTAAAAATGGGTTTAAAAAATAAGGGTTTAGGGTTTAAATGAGGGTTTACTAAAAAGGCTTTGTGGTTTCTATTATTAAAGCGTTGAATGCAGGGCTAGGGTTTAGGGTTTAGGGTTTAGGGTTTGCCTCATGTCTCTGAAGGGTCTTTCTGTTTTTTCTTTTTCCAAAATCCCTAAAAAGACCTCCAAGCCAAAAGTGCTGCTGAACTCTTCGCCGTCGTCAATAACGTGCGCCAAGCCATCCTCTGCACACCCCAAACCCTAAACCCTAAACCCTAAACCCTAAACCCTAAACCCTAAACCCTAAACCCTAAACCCTTATTTCGGCCCCACAGGGCCCGCGAGCCTGCTTCCCAGCCCCTGTGCCGCTTGAGGCCCTCCGCCGCGGGGCTCCCGCACGCCCTAAGAGCCAGTGCTAGGGCTTAGGGTTTAGGGTTTAGGGTTTAGGGTTTAGGGTTTAGGGTTTACCGAGGGAAAAGTCGACGTGAATGTAAGGAAAACCCTTGGGAATTGTCCCTCGAACTCCCCCCCTGCCTTTTGCCTCAATTACAGTTTTGTGGCTTTGCCAAAAACCCTCGCTTTCCGCAAAGGCCTTTCGATAGTACGTCTGCAGCCGCAAACCCCAAACCCTAAACCCTAAACCCTAAACCCTAAACCCTAAACCGCGAACGCCAAATCCTAAACCCTGAGCCCCAAACCCTAAACCCAAGCCCTAAACCCCAAACCTTAAACCGCAAACCCTGAACCCTTACCCAAACCCCAAACCCTAAACCCCAAACCCTAAACCCTAAACCCTAAACTCCGAACCCTAAACCCTTATCCCTGAACCCCAAACCCTAAACCCCGAGCTCTAAACCCCAAACCCTGAACCCCACCCCAAACCCCAACCCCCAACCGG